CAAGTTTCCAGGTTCCATGATCAGGCAGAGAAGGTAGCTGTGAGGTGTCCAGTCTGAGAACAAGGTCAAGAAGAGATGAACTGGCTGGAGGGGCTCAGGAGAGGGAGTCAGAGCCTGTCCTGCAGCATCACAGAGGGTCCCTTGAGTCAGACTCTGGCTAAGCTCTAGGGTAACAAAATCTGAGTTCTCTCCATGGGATTGCCAAAGCAGGGGAGGTTCATAGGTTTGGGGACACATCCCCTCCACCTCAGCCAGGTGACCCCTCTTGAAGAGACACCCTAAAGTAGGTTGTTCCATTAGCTTTCTGACAGTCCATTATACTCACCTCACAGAAACATGTTTCTTAGGACTGAACACTGCCTAAGGCCACAGCTGACAAGGTATGCATATAGTCACCAGGAAGGACTACTCATGCTACACTAATGAACTGTCTCTGACGAAACTGTTTTCCTAAGCAAAGGCTACAGTACTGCTGCCACAAGCCCCATTCAGGACACTAGGGAGGGTTCTGCTCACTGTGACACAGTAAGTACAAGTTCCATCTTGTACTTGTACCCATCCTCATTGGAAGACAAGAGGGGATGCAAAGATCCACATGGTAGCTCTTCAAGAGTTGTGTGTGTGCACATGTGCAAATGTATACCCATGGTTGTGTGAGGTGTGTGAGCAGGCAAGCATGTCTATGCCAAAAGTCCACCTGGGTATCGATCTCAGAAGCCATACACCTTAGTTTTGAGACAGAGTCTTTCACTGAACCTAAGACTTTCTGGTTAGGATAGGCTGGCTCCCTAGCAAACACCAGGGCTCTGCCTATCTCTGCCTCCCCAGTACTGATATTGTAAGTAAACCTCAGATGCCTATACTTTTGTGCAGGGATTGAACTCAGCTCTTCTTGCTTACACAGTGGGTAACTAACTAACTGAGCTATCTCTCCAGCCCCACTTTCTAAAAAGTTCTAAACAATATGTAATCCCAACCCTAGGGAGGCTAAGGCGAAGGACTGTGAGTTTAAGGATGGCCCAGAAACAAGCCACAAGCATTGTGTGGCTAAGCTGAGCATAGTGATGCATGCCTGCAATCTCAGCAACCCTGGAGGCTGAGGCAGGAGGATTGTGAGCCCTGGTTCAGATTGGGCAACATAGCAAAACCCTGCCTCGAGCAACCAAGCAAACAAAGAGTTCTGTACAGAAATGCTATGAGTCACTTCGATCTCAGTTTGAACACATGAGTAAGGCACGTGGCCACATCTAAGTTAGGAGGGGAGGAAAACAGAGCCTTGCCATGCACGCAGAAGACTCGTAGATGCCTGTGAGGAATCCTAAAAGACTAGACAAGGTGGCAGCTATGGGGTGGTGGGCAACCCCAAGATCTCGGGTACCCCTCTTTATACCTATTATAGGGGACAGTAAGTGTCTTGAACACTCTGGAGACGCCAGTCCAAGGTCAACAGAGTGCCAGTGTAGAAGGGTCAGGAGCAGACACTTCAGACTAGGCGCAAGGGCTTGTCCAGACATGGAAAATACCCACTAAGATCTTCAGTCAGGATAATCTACTTCCTGAATTTTCAAGGCCTTTGGGGCGAGTCTTCCTAAGCTCATAAACAAAGAGCATCAGAGCTGGGTGGGTCCCCGGAGCCTGGCTGCTCCGGTGTGGTCTCTAGATCCGCAGCATCAGCACCACCTTCCCCTGGGAGCCTGTGAGAGACATCCGGTCTCAGGCCCCACCCAAAACTACTGAACTAGAATCTGTGTTTTACAAGATTCCCCAGGAGATGTGTATGCACATCAGAGCCTGGGAAGTACTTCCCCAGCACTAATTTAGGCCAACATTTTTATTTCACAAATGAGGCGCTGACACCCAGAAGGGAGGAGGCTGGCCCAAAGTTACACAGCTGGTTCCAATCCTGGCTTCACCACTTGCCAGAGACTTTGAGTAAGTCATTTAAAAATGCACTGACTCTCACTTTCCTCTTACACAGGGTATCACATTCGATTCCAAGTTCTTGTGCATGCACCAGATAAGACAGCACCCAAATTAGGCTTCATAAACACTGACAGTCACTAGAGTCCTAGCTCTCTGCTCCAAGGCTACCCTTCCATCTCCCAACACAGCCAGCTTCTCTATAGACAGTATAGGCATGGATCCTGGGCCAGGAGTTCTGTGCAGATCCTTTTCTGCCATTGGACCTTGGACTGGTCTAATGTTCCCTGGCTTTAGTTTGGTGTTTCACAAATGAGTTGACTCTGTCTAAAAAGATCACTGAAGGTCTTTGATCTTTGAATAGTCTGTGGTACAGAATAAGCCAGAATTGACAAATTTGTTTCCAAACTACCCCAAAGAAGGAGACACTATTAGGGAAGACTAGCCCTGGGGAGTCTATAGGTCTTTCCTAGAATGGTTCTGCCTTGACACATCCAAGTACCTCAAGTGCCTAAGTTCCCCCACCCCCAGGTTGTCCCCCCATCACCCAGTTCTTGTTCTGAGGATTGAATCCATGGTCTCATACATGCCTGCTAAGTGTTCTACCACAAGCTATACTGAAAACTCCTCTTTCTTCTTCAGCTAATAAAAAGGACCCTCAAGGCTCCCAGTACCTCTCTGGGGATGGAGTTAAAGAGGAAGCCTGTCAGATTGGAGGACAGTCTGGTTTCAAAGCTTTGCAGGCTGTCAGGTGGGAGAAGTCTAGACCTGGTCTCACAACTCTGGAGGACAGAAACAGAAACTTCAGGTAAGTCCTCTCCGGTCATAACAACTGATGGGAGACAGCTCCAGAAGTTCCTGTAGCCATTAGTTCTATGGCAAGTGAGCTGCAGGGGAGAGGGCACCCTTGCTGCAAGGCCAGCAAGGCTGGCAAACCTGGCGTAGTCTCCACGCACTCCAGCCTGGCTGGCTGTAAGTGTCATTTCAGGTAGGCACTTTTCAAATACAGTTTCCCATGCACCATCCTAACCTGATCAGAATCTATAGGGTGGATCTGGGATCTATTTTAAAAGCACCCCTCCACACCCCCACAGTGGTTCACATAACAGGGGTGTGTGTTTGAAGGCAGGACCAAGGACTAGAGGAAGGAAGTTGGAACCAGCCAATAACTGGTTCCCAAGGATCTTCGCTCTGTTTCTCAAACTACCCTCACCTTTACCAGGACCTAAGGATGCTGGGAACTGTAGCTTCATTGGGTTTCTGCTTTTTACAAAGCTTGTACTCTTGATTTGGGGATTTCTTAAACACCTAATAGCAAATCACACACACACACACACACACACTTTTTGTAGCAAGATTGTTCTGTAGAAAGATTGGCTTTGAACTCAACTTTCTTCTTCCCTCAATCTCCAGACACATTCTCCCTCAACTCTGCAGTCTGACTCCCCATAGAAGTCACCCTTTTAGATGACCCAGACTGTGGTCTTGAAGGAAGAATAAGAGAGCTAACCCTGCCTTCTATCAGAACAGGCAGCTTTCTTCCACCACACCTTAAAGGCCCAGAGCACTCGTGCAACTGGGCGTCCTTAATGCCATTCTTTCCCCTAAGAGCATCCTGGACCATGCCCAGGTCTCCCTTAAATGGAAAAAAAGGGGGCTCTGTCTACTTCTCTCCTTTGGATCATTCTCATGGTTTGGTATGCCACAGGTCAGTATTAGAGCACATTTCCTTCTGGGGAGATTAGATGCCCTCGCAGAAGCAAAGGGTCGTCACCAACACCCACAGCAGAAAGGGAGTAACTAACAAAAATAAAATGAAAGAAAAAAAAAGAAAAAAAAAAACAAAACTGGAGTGGCTGCCTTTTGCCTTGACCCCATAGCGCCACCTGGTGTTTATCGGTACAGACCAAGCTCGGCGCCGGCAGATCCCTGCGACTCCCCCACGATCCACGCAATTACAGCCTTCTGCTTGTACCCGAGCTTTACAGTGTGTCTGTGCGACCCCTTCTGCACTGTGTAACTGTAAGAAGATCAATGGGGAAGAGTGAGACGGAGGTACCTGGGCCTGCCTGATGGTACTGTGCTGGGCCAAGACCTCCCTGCGCAGCCAGCAGAGGGCAACCTGTCTCCATCTTTGGACCCCCCCCCTCCCCAAAGGCACGCATCCTGGTACTCTGTGGGTCCCGCCCAGGGTAGGAGGATCCATTTGTGTTTATAGAACGAACCATTGTCCTCTGGGCATAAACCTCCCTGAGAACTTCCTATGGGTCTTGAGCCCTGTTTGGGAGCTGTCAGCACCGCTTAGGACTGGCACTCCTGAGCTCCAGCTGTTGGGCAGGTGCTGCCTTGCGCTCTAGTATAGGTCCCACGAGGGGCACCACTGGTCTGATCCTCTGGCTAATACAAGCATAAAAGCTATTGTTTAACTTCTACTCACTGTTTTGAAAAACTCAGTGTGGGCACATTTTCACGGACTGACACAGCCCAGCTCTGGGTACACTGGGTGTGCCTAAGATAAACAACACTTCAACCCTTCAGACAAGCCTATTTCCCAAGCCTGGTCTTTCATGGACCTGGCTGTGGGGCCCTTAGAGAAAAGCAGACAGCTGGCTCCTGCTCCCCAGTCTCTCTCTCTCTCTCTCTCTCTCTCTCTCTCTCTCTCTCTCTCTCTCTCTCTCTCACACACACACACACACACACACACACACACACACACTCACACACACTTCCAAGAAGTGAGATTTCTGGAGTTGATATGGAAAGTTCCTCTGGCTGAGTTTTTGCAAGGGTCTTTCCAAAAGCTGAAGAGCAGAGCACATTGTTGAGACCTGAGTGAGCCTTTCAAAAGCCAAGTCCACAAAATTCCCACATCCTGAGACAGGGGTGGAGGGCAAACAGGGCGAGGCCTTTGGTCATTTGGTTCCCTTAGAATCAATACTATAAAGTAAACAGACCGTAGAAAGCTCGAGAGTGATTCTCTTTGGTTCATTTCTACTGGGCCTTGCTGCAATTGTTCTGGCCCAATCCAGCCCTGGCTCCAGGGTGTGGCAGGGTCCCCACCGACAGACAGGAAAGGAGAGTTCAGTTCTAAATTGCTTTATTGATCAGATGATAAATCAGCTTCAACAGCCCATGCCTACAGCCCATGCAGCAAATAGCTGTACACAGCTTTGTCCCTTCAGTCCCGGGCAGCATCACCCACCCTTCCCCTTCTCCCACTGCTCCTGACCTTGGGACCTCGATGGGATGGGCAAGGTAGTGAAGGTTACTAGAGAAAGGTAGGGTAAACGAAAAATTGGGTCTGGGTTGGAGAGGAGTGAGGACTGGGGGTTCAGGGGAACCCTCAGGAGTGGCTAGAACACAACTCTATCCTGGGCTATGCTGCCACAGAAACTGTCCATCCCAGCCACCCGATCCAAGGTTAGAACCAGAATTGACCACTCCAAGATCTGGACCACTGAAAAATGTAAATACTTGTTCAAGGTATTCATTAGGCTCTCTCTTGTCCATCAAACAGGGAACTTGATGTCTAAGGAGGTCAGACAACCTCTAGACTTCGGGGTCCTCTGACCTGGCTTGTTCTCCATTCCTTAGTGAAAAGACACTGTTTCCACATTCAAAGGCAAGAGGGCAGAGAAAGAGTTCCTTCTGATGGCCCAGAATCCTATCTGCACCTCTCTGCCTCTCATGGGGACTTCCCAGACTGGGATGCACCAAGAACTCAGCCTCCTACCCAGAGGAGACTCTCTGGGACCCAATAAACCACAACCTTCCCTAGCCCAATTCTGGTCCTGCCTCCCTGTCCCAGGTCTCCTGCTTTGCTCTATTGGTCTCCAAAGACATGAGCTCAGGTGTCCTGGCCAGAAGAGGGTTGACATTCAGCCTAGAAACAGAGGTCTGGGGGGCAGGGGGAGGTGTGGGGAGAGGGACCTGGTTTCTGGAAAGGGATGACTAGACAGATGTCTCCTAAAGGTAACGGTATCAAATGCCAGGCAGGAGGAAGCCCTTAGTGGGGAAGGAGCTCGGGCAGACCCCTAAACCAAAAGAAGCCAGACACCCAAGTCCAAGGCATTAGTGATGTGCAGCAGGGCTGAGTGAGGGAGAGGATCTTGGAGGTGTCCAAGGCTCCTGGGAATGGACTGCTGATGAAAGCTCAGGAGTAGGCAGGGTGTGCAGATGGTGGCAGCCTCACTCTGAGTGGACCAAGGCTCCAGCTCCTTGTCCAAAGCCAAAACCTTTGGGCCCAAAGTTTTTGGCATAGCACCCTGCAGAGAGAAGAGAAGGGTAAGGATGTATTTTGACCCCAGAGTAGCTCCTCCCACCATTCCTTGTGCCTGGTCTCCGGAGGCCAATCCACCAGTGTCTGACTCCCTGTCTCCATTGTACTCCTAGCCTCAGTAGTGAGGAGAACCACTTATTTCACTGAGGGAGTAAATTGTTTGCTGAAAAACACTGGACAAGTATTGAGATCCTAAGCCCCGCCTTTATCCCCTGCCCTAAGATAAGCCCTGCCCTTATCCCTGCCCTATGCTCCCTCTGACTCTGGCCAAGTCTCATTCTTCTTCTCTGGTTTTCCCGTTGTGTCATGAAGAGGCCACTCTGGCCCTTGGATTGGAAGGCAAGAGGCTTGGTTCATTTAGGGACAGCCTAGTCACTTGGTTTACAGTCCACCCCCTCCAACCCAACCTTCTGGTCTTCAGAGAAGTAGAGTTACCCACCTTTGCAGTAGATCTCACCATCCTTGTCTGCCAGCGTGGTCGACTCAAGGCCTTTGCCACACTTGGCACATCGGAAGCAGGACTTATGCCAGGACTAGGTAAGAAAGGAAATGGTTAAATGGTTAGCATCACTGCCAGCGACGAAGGGCCTCCACCCCAGCCCACCATCCGATGCCATCATGGATAGACATTCTGCAAGTCAGGTAGGGGTAGCAGGGATGTTAGGAGAATGTGGCCCAGATGCAGAGGGAGCAGGCCAGGCACCAAGTGCACACTAGTGATATGCCACCATGAATGTGACGTCTTACCATGACTCCCTGCTTAGTGGTTCCAGCTGTACCACAAAAGAGGGTTACATCCCACCTGGGTAGCTGCAACTCCCACAGGCTGCCAGGCAAGCCTTCTCCATACCATTCTGTCAGTGAAACTGGTATGGCTCTGGGTGTATCTTGCCCCTGCCACATGCTACTTGAATAACTGCCCTGATGTCCTCCCAGGAGACCTCTCTTTTTATCTTGCAGAGTGGATCTGAGGATTTCATATTAAAATGGCCGGTGCACAAACATGGAACAGGCATCTGTCACTGGGATTTTCCTGGAGCAGCCCAACCTCTGAGGTTCTAGAACTTGGTGCCTCATCTTAGCTCTCAGAGAGTAGTGTGCCCTTATTTCCTTTGCTAGGCAGCTGCCAGAATTAAATAGCTTCACCAGAGTCAAGTATTTGCATGGGGCCAGGCGTGGAGGAACCCCTGAGCCAAATCTGTATGGTTTTTGAAAGGAGAATAGGTCTGTCTACAGTGTACTTAACTCAATAGAAAGCCACAGAAGGCCCTTTGTGATGATTCCAAGAGGCGCCCTAAGGCAGCATAGGGCAAAGAGAGCTTCTCAAGAGAGACAGGACTCAAGTTTGTACATGGCATTCACACACACAGCTACACAACAACACAACTCAACAATCAACTCCCATTGGCAACAGCTGGACAAAGTGACGTGTACATGGAAGAGGCTGGCCGCATTCAGCTGGGACAATAAAACAACGCCATGTAAGGCCCTCAGTGTAACCACCAATGCCCAGGCCGGAGGGTAGGAAAAGCAGCTGGGGCCTTCAGATTTTCCTGGCCACTGGACCTCACCCCTCAGCTCCTCATGTGCCCAAAAGACAGCAGCAGGGGGCTGAGATAGGGTGGACAAGTCATCTTAATTATCCTTCAGTGCTCTGTCACACCTCTTTGTAAAGCAGAAACCGCTACCCCAGCACTCTGGACTGGAAGAAGACGGAATTACACACAGGCCACTCAGAGTACCATCTCATACTTTCCAGACACTCCTGAAATAAGCCTAGTGTCTTTGCCCATTCACCCAATAATGAAAAGCATGCTGTGTTCCTCAATGCTTAAGGGGGCTTGTTCTTCTCTTTTCCTGTTGTACTCAAAATGTTCTTATTCTACTTCTCAGGACAATTATTTTATTTAATTATTTTATTTTATTTTTTATTTATATTATTTTATTTATTTATTTATTTATTTATTTATTTTCAAGACGGGGTTTCTCCCTGTAGCCTTGGCTGCCCTGGAACTCACTCTATAGACCAGGCTGGCCTCAAACTCACAGAGATCCACCTCCTGAGTGCTGAGATTAAAGGCGATTGCTGCCACCACTGCCAGGCCTCACTGCAATCTCTACCCTATGCCATGGAAACAGGGATTCCTGGGTATTTCTTTAATAATTTCCTATCTTCATAGGCAAAGGGAAAAGATCACTTCTGATATAACTTTTTCTTTCCTTTTTTCCTCCTTTTGGGGGTTCAGTTTGAGATTTCAGGCATGTGTGGCCATGACAGACTCCTGTTTTCAGGACATATAAGGCATAACAATGCCCACCACACATGTATTTCCTCATACACTCTTAAAAACACTTTGTATGTCAGAGACGGTCACGGCTTCACTTCATCATGGCTCCACTCCTTGGCCCACATTACGCATAACTGATGCTTAGGAAGGCTGCCCACGAGTACATGGCAAAATCAAAATTCAAGCAGATTACATAGGGCTGAGGCGGTTCATCACTGCGGTGGGCTTAACAACCCTTTCCTGACTTTGCAAAGTATAGAAATGTTTTCAAAGGGGTTAAGTGACCCTCAGTAAAGTCAACAGTAGTAAGAGACAGGGCTTCAGAATCCGGCAAGCCTGGCTGGGCTCCCGGCTTGCTTCCTAGCTAGAAGATATGGGCAGATTATTCATTCCTTGGTCTGTGTGATATGGATAATCTCAGTAGCAATGAAGGAGGTCACTGTGGTCCAGGCTTGGCCCAAGCATTCATTCCCGTTCCACACTCCTGACCCATTCCTCAAGTTCAAAGGGCTTTCAAAGCCATGGGGCCAAACCAAAAAGAGCTGGCCACGGGCTCCACGCACCACGGGTCCACTAGCTGAGCATGGCCAAATCACTCGTTCAGCCCAGGCCTCGGCTGAAGATCCAGACGTCCTCTCTGACCACACTGCTGGAGGGTATGAGTTCTGTGATCTGCTGACTCTTAGTCTAAGACTGCAAAGCCCCAGGGCTCTACTGCTCTTTCCCACTGAAGAATATCAAGGAAATGATCAATGAGCTGTTTGGACAGTTGGTTGTCCAGGTGATTCTCCTTGAGCACTGAGGGCTGGGAGCCGGAAGATACTACCGGAATAGCACAGGGACAGAGTGGGCAAAGGAATGAAAAATAATGTTGAAAAGGCTTCCAGCAGACTGACAGAACCTTAACCAAGAAAACCTCTGTCCTTGGGGTTATAGGAGTGTATTTCTGGCAGAATATATCCCATGAAACAAAATATATATTTTGTGATGGTTCATAATTGTATTTTGTGATTGTAAAAGGTATTTCTGGAACCAAAACACCTAAAATCTGATTAAAGCTGTGAATCTTCATCCTAGAAAGGGAAACCCTTTTAGTTGTATTTACTTATATTTCATGTACATGAGTACACTGTAGCTGTCTTCAGACACACCAGAAGAGGACATCAGATCCCATTACAGATGGTTGTGAGCAACCATGTGGTTGCTGGGTATTGAACTCATGACCTCTGGAAGAGCAGTCAGTGCTCTTAACCACTGAGCCATCTCTCTAGCCTGAGAAGCCCTCTCAGAAAACCTAGCCATGTAGCATTAGTGATACATACCTTTAATACCAGCACTTAGCAGAAGTAGGTAGATCTGTTTGAGGCCAGCCTGGTTCTAACCAGGGACTCACAGAGAAAGTCTGAGAGAGAGAGAGAGAGAGAGAGAGAGAGAGAGAGAGAGACAGAGACAGAGACAGAGAGAGAGAGACACAGAGAGAGACAGAGACAGACAGACAGACAGACAGACAGACAGAGAGAGAGAACCCAGCCATGAAATCTTAGGGGTGGGCCCTTCAATATCCATCTACGTCCTTAGCCTTAGCAATGCCCTACAAAATGATCAGAGACAATCTTTGACACTGGGGATGGTACAGTTCGTGGCTTAGGTGAGTTCTCTAGGATCCAGGACAGAACACTCGATCTCTGGAAGGAGGCAAAGTGCAGGGCTCGGGGTACTGCCTGGAGTGGATCTAGAGTCATCCATCACACAGCTCCGTAATTCATGTTTTGGAAGTGCACCTCCCTCTTCCCTCCCTTATGCCCAGCAGCGCCTTACCTTCCCCGCACCAATCACCTTCTCCGCAGCATAGACTGCCTGGCTACATCGGGGACAGCGCTCAGAGCCACCAATCTTCTGGGCAAACTTGGATGCATTGGGGTTGGTGGTGGGCCTGTGTCCGGGGGCTCTACACACAGAAGTGCATGTGGCACGTTGACTAAGTGCAGGGGTAGAACCCTTTCCATCAGCGCTAAGGCCACCATGGCCTCTGCGATCCCAAAGCTCAGGGAGTTTGGCAACACAGCACAGTCTCCTTGTCACCTAAAGCCCCCAGAATCATTTAGCACATCATTTTCTAAGCCCCCTCCACCGCCCCTCACTTCTGTGGATCATGTATCATTAGATTCTTTGCAGAAGAAATCTGCTGACAGAGCATTCCCGTGAGGGCAATGACCTTGGCTGAAATCCGGTGAGTCTTCATCCTTCCATTCACTTCCCCATTGCAGAGGGGCTGTCAGCCACCCTTTCCCAGCAGCTCAAAGGCAAGAGATGACAGTGACACCCTGAGGCATGGCCCAGGAAAGGAACCTACTTCCTCTGAGCAGGGGTGAAGGGTAGCGGGCTGACGCTCCTCTGAATTTTCAATTATAAAATGAAAAAATTGGACCATAACTCTGAGAGCCCCTTCCAGCTCTGACGCTTGTAAAAATCTAGGCTGAGTGTTTGCAGCAGACACTTGGTCCTCAGCTGTCCCGGCAGCCCCACACAGAGACCTGCTCTGTGGCTTCCTTTCATGAATTCTTATTTTATTTGTTCATTTTTTATTTGCTTTTGAGATCTCTCTTTGTGCGTGCACGCATGTGTGGGTGCGTGTGTGTGTGTGTGTGTGTGTGTGTGTGTATGTTCAAGTAAGGTGAACACGCATGTGTGAGGTCATACACATAGAGACCAGAGGTCAACATTAGGTATCCTCTTAACTCCGCTCCACCTTATTTTTTGAGACAGGTCTCTTCCAGCTAGGTACCAAGCCCCAGGTGTCCTCCTGTCTCCTCAACACTGGGACTGTAAGCGCATACTGCCAGTACCCAGCTTTTACATTGGGTGCTTGGGATTAAACTCGGGTCTTCATGCTTATGTGGCAAGGACTTTACCAAGTGATCCCTTTCCCCAGCCTGGTTTGGAATTTTATTTAAACATAGCCTCTATTGTAGCTTAAGTTGACCTTGAACTCAAGACCTTCCAGGTTCAGCCTCCCTAGAACGGCAGGCATGGGCCACCATGTATATATAGCTCTCCCTTTTAAATCAGTGACTTCCCAGACCTTCCACTGTTTAACCAAAGGTGTTTCATTGACATCCATTTCAAGAAAGGGTGAGAACTCAAGGAAAGGAAGAGAGGATCTTGTACTCACTCCTCATGCTTGATGCCCAGAGACTCCCCTTTGTCTGTGCTCAGCGTGCCTGCGCCCTGCCCGTAGCCATAGCCTTTTGGCCCATACTTCTTGCCGTAACATGACTTGCAATAGATCTCTTCTCCATGCACTGCCACAGTGGTGCTGTCCAGATTCTTCTTGCAGACCACTGGGGAGGAGACAGGGGATGGTAAGATGCAGCTGGGGGCCTCCCAGCATTGACTCATACAGAAAAGGAGACCAGCAGGGTGGCCAGTGGGCTGGCTTCCAGGAATAACTGACTCTAGGTGGTCAAGGCCTGGCCTCCAGGAATCTGGGGGTGTTTCCCTCAAACCTCTGTACCCTATCCAAGTCTCAGTGCACCCCAAAGTTCAGAAGCCACAGCCTAGGCAGATCTGAGCCACAGAACACCAGATGGAGTTTTTCATTCTGCCTTTAATAGAGAGACCACGTGTCCCAATAGGAGAGGAAATAGAAGGGCAGAAAGGAGCACAGGGTTTTCCTGCCTCTGTCGGTGGCATAGAAAGACCACATCTGGGGGTGTTATTACAGCAGGGGCAGGAATACAGGTGAAGTGACACACCTCAAAAAGAAATGGAACATGTATAAGATGCCCAACATGGTGGGGTTTGAAATGAGATGCAAGTCATGGTTATCAGAATTCAATTTGTAGTTTCTCGTCTCAGAAGTCACTGAACCACAGGGAGAAGAAGGGCTGGACACAACGGAAGGCTGTTCTGAGTCACAGGATCGGTGAGGCAGGGATGGGGTGAGCTAGAAAACCTTCAAGCCCTGGACACTTTCCTGTTAATCCCACAATGAGCTGTGCCAGATATCCAACATACAAGGTCTGTCTAGAGTCTGGAGTCAGACCCCAGCTCTCCATGCCATCTCGGTGGGCTGGGACAAACTACTTTCCCTTTCTGTGTCCTTATTTATGAGTGTGGGTAATCTCATCTGCCCTAAAAGGTAGTTAGGAAAACCAAGTGAGATCTCAGATGTGGCATGCCTAACTCAATACCCTACGCACAAAAGGTTCACAATAAATGTCAGCTACTCACACTAGCATTATAAACAGGTGGTACCATGGGAGGGAGAGCATCTACTTCCATTCTGCCTCCTTCTCCTCCCGGGAGACTCAACTTGATATCCCCTAAATACTGGAGTTGAGTCTGCCCAACTGAACAGCATCGGAGAACACCTCCTCTGAAGCTGGAAGTCTACAGACACCAAGGGAGGGGCCAAGCTTCCTTATAAGGTGCCATTCTTTGCCTTTAAAGGACCAGGCCTCCCCCAGTTCTCTATGGGACCTAGGCTGGGGATTTCAGGCTAAATAAGGACCCTCTTATCCAGGACTCGAGATCTCTACCTCATTCCAGCACTCTCAGCCACCCAAATATGGACCCTCCCACCACCTCCCCTGGGGCTTGGCTTTAAGGCAAGGCGGAGAACAACAGGCCAAGGCTCCAACATTCCCTTCTAGGGAGGGAAGTCAGGAATTAGCCCAGGCGGGAACTGTTTCCCTTAGACCTACTTTGAATCAGGAATTCCAAAATTGAAGGGAAGGCAGAAAACAGAGATAGCAGCGGTTAAGGAGGAAAAGACCTTTTTTGGCTGGTGTCTCCAGCAAAGGCTGAGGATCCTGACACTGGAGACACCCATCAGGGCCTACAAGCCCATGCCAGTAGATCCTTCCACCCCTCCCCCACCCACCACCCCTCCTCCAACTACTGCCCCCTCCCCCACCCACCACCCCTCCTCCACCCATCACTCCATACTGGTCAAGACCACCTGTTCCTTTCTGCATTACCTTGGTTTTCTCAGAGGTACAGTCCCACCCACTATAACCCCACCATAGTCTCCTCCCCCTCCACCCAAGTAACGACAGCAGGGGTTCACCTGGGGGGTCCCCCAAAAATCTTGGCCAAGAGAAATTTTGAATAAATCCTTCATTCAAAGAAGACTTGAATAAACGGCTACCAAGTCAGGTTAAGCAAAACAGAAACAAAACAAAAACCCTAGGTTAGTAAAGCACATTGTTTGGAAACTGTTTCCAGATGCTACCTGACTCCATGCTTTTGGAAACATGGAAAAGAGGCACCCACTCACCACACCCAAAGATGGAGAATAGCTACCTCTGGAAAGAAAACCAAAACCCACAAAAACTGCTCAGGGTCACAGAGTCTTCCAGAAGCAAGACCAGGCCAGATCCTAGCTCTGATTCACAGTCCTGGTTTTCTGCCAGGCTGTGGCTCTTCCAAGAAGTGGAAAGTGAGAACTAACCTTATGCCTTAGCTGGGGGTCAGAGTGTGTCTGGGGCTTCTCCAGGCCTCTCCTGTATTCACAGAGTCTGAGGAACAGCTTAGAGCCCACCGCAGACTTCAGTTGCCTTGGCCACCAGCACAGGGTTAAGACAGACAGGCCTTTCTTGTCCACAGAAATGGCTGTTCAGCCCAGCTCACCCCAAGAAGGACCCAGCTGCAACTCAGGGTTGGACACATCACCTCAGGGAAGGCTCCTATAGGCCTGAACTCAAGCTGCGTCTATCACCCACTTGTTGTCTAGGGGCAAGAGGCTTCTTTCTCTACTGTATTGAAGGGGACAGAGTGGAGGTGAGGGCAGACCTACTGTAGACTTCTCGCCTCAGGCCAAACCCAGGAAGACATGGTCTCTCTTATCTTTCCTATTACATCATCTTGGCTTCTTTATACCTATCCTAAACCTCCAGGAAAAAAGTATATATAGGGTGACAAACTGAGTTGAATCTATGACCAAGGTTTGGAACTAACAGACCTTCTTTTAATGACCTATCCTAGGATAGCAAAATGAGCCAGACTGCCACCCAGGACAGAACCTGATGGCCTTTCCCTTCCTGAGGAGGAAAGCCCTTTGATTCTATGGGTTACCATGAATTTAAGGCAGACATATCAACCAGTTGACTTGAAGGGATAGGGATGCTCCTCCCAGTCCTGACCAAGTCTCAGGTGAGATCCCATCACGCACTGGTGCTATCTGGGGTACTAGGGATAAGACAGTGGGGATAACATCCCAGCATGCCTAGAGTACAGGACTCTCGGTCAGCTCAGAGCTCTGACCCCTAGAAACTGCACAGGCCCAAGTCACAGACACACACAACCATCCCCTAGAGCAGTCGGTTCTCAGCCTTCCTAATGATACGACCCTCCTTTAATACAGCTCCTCATGTTGTGGTGATCCCAACCATAAAATTACTTTCATTGCTACTTCATAACTGTAATTTTACTAACAGTTATGAATCATCATGTAAATATGCATTTTCTGGAGGTCTTAGCTGACCCCTGTTTGTGGAACACCCCCACCCTCCCCACCCCCCTCATACCACCATCTCCCACCTCTCCACCCCGCCTCATCCCCCCATCTCTCGTCCCCCTAACCCCTCCTCCACTCCCCCCCCCTCAAAGGTCCAAGGCCCTAAAGAAACAGCTGCGTGGCAGCCTCTCCTCAACCTGGTTTTCTGCAATTGCTTCTAATCCCTGACACCTCTTCACACCCTGCCCCAGGCCCTGTTCCTTCCTTTCTGGGCCACCCCCTGAATTCCTGACCTCCATCCACGCCTGACCAGAAGCTAAGCCTTCACATCAGGACTTTAGCAGGCGCTTTGGACACAGCTGGTCCCTTTTAGTCAGTGATTAGGAAACATTTGAGAGCAGAGAGGAGCCTTTCAGACCCAGAAGTCCAGACCCCTCTTCCCAACTGGCACCAGGCTGTCTCTTATTCCCTCTGGGGGCGGGGTGGGTGGGGATAAAGACTTGAAAGGCCCCTGCATGATGAACTGCTGAGGACCGGCTGCCGCTGTCTGGGCCTCCTTGGCAGGCTGAAAGCCAGCAGAACGCCACAAGCTTGTCAACTCCTCATCTATCACTCGAACCTTGGGACTGGCCGGCCAGGCCTGCTGAGAGTGAGAAGCCCAATGCCCCGTGCTGGGTGGCGTCAGGCTGGCCTGCTCATGGGCAGGTAGAGATGTGACTGTCAGCTGAATACACACACGTGTGCTCTCTGGATCCCACTCCAGATCAGACCACCGGGGAGGGAAGGAATGCTGAGCTCCTGGTCGCTGATCCTGAGTCTCAGATGGGCTGGGGCTTCAGCTCCTGTGAGCTCTCCTGAACTCCTTCTTGCCGAGTCACCCTTATTTATGAGTGTGTGTGTGTGTGTGTGTTTGTGTGTGTGTGTGTGTCTCGATGAGTTTGTGTGTTTACTGAACACTCACACTACTTTGTGCTTCCTTTGTTTTACAAACTCTTTGCATCTCAGTTCTCACAGTAACCCTACACAGTATTGAACTTGTCCATCACCACAGAAACAAGAGTAAATTATAATCTCAGCCCTGATCAGGCTGGCTCTGAAGACTGAGGCTTAACCAAGGCATCTTATTGCCTTGCCTGCTGCTGGGCCTACCTTCCAGAAAACAGCTGCTATGCCAGACTTCTGCTCTGACTACAAAGAACATATCATTTAAGAATTGAGGAGAGGCCGGGCGTTGGTGGCGCACGCCTTTAATCCCAGCACTTGGGAGGCAGAGGCAGGCGGATTTCTGAGTTCGAGGCCAGCCTGGTCTACAGAGTGAGTTCCAGGACAGCCAGGGCTATACAGAGAAACCCTGTCTCGAAAAACCAAAAAAAAAAAAAAGAATTGAGGAGAGGGCTGGAGAGATGGCTCAGTGGTTAAGAGCACTGACTGCTCTTCCGGAGGTCCTGAGTTCAATTCCCAGCAACCACATGGTGGCTCACAACCATCTGTAATGGGATTCGATGCCCTCTTCTGGTGTGTCTGAAGACAGCAACAGTGTACTCATATATATAAATAAATCTTTAAAAAAAAAAAAGAATTAAGGAGAGGCTTCTCCAAGTCTCCACTTTTGGGACACATCACCTGAGCCAGGTACCAGCATGGCAGCATCAGAGGGGCACCGTTCTTGGGTTAAGCCGACCTTGCTCTGAGGCCTCTGCATGGTTTTCTATACCATCGAGGTGCTAGAGTGGTCACACTGACCATTGGGAGCAGAGAGCGGTGGACCTGGAGCTCCACCTACCCTCCGTGATGAGTGAGTGGGAGGAGAACCTTGCTGCCCCCGTGCCTCGTACAAGGGGCTGAGTGAGAGATGTAATCTTCCTCCTCTCTGACTTTCACCAAGGTCGAAGCCTCTCTTACCTAGCCAGGGGGGTAACTGGAAGGCTGGTGAGACTTTAGATGGAAAGCATCTCTCTCAGAAATGATAGAGTGGCCAGAACAAAGGGAGAGTGGAAAGTTTTCCTGGGTGAGCCTTTCCAGCTTGGCTCCCAGCCCTGCCCCCCACCCCCACCCCAACACACACCCCAGCCACCCCCAACAACTCTGGACAGCTTCTGAAGGGAACAAAGAGGCCCTTAAGTGTTTCCCTCCCCAGCTGTGCTTCGGCCAAATGTCAAGCTGTTTACATCCCCAGGGACCAGTTCCCTGGGGTGTCGACAGGCAGAGCTTGTGGGGGCAGGCCTGTCCAGGTCCCCTGGCAGCCACAGCAGGCCTGGGCGGTACTCACTGCACAGGAAGCAGGATTTATGGAAGCTGTTGCCCTCGCACTGGACCTCCTCGGCAAAGTAGACTGTCTTCTGGCACACCCCACATTTCTTGCCTCCTCCCCAGTTTGGCATTCTGGGAAAAAAAAACACACACACAAAAGTGAGAATGGGGTTCATACACAGGGAGATAAAAATACACACTGCCCACGGCAGGGAGGCTGAAGAACATTCTCTTTTTTTCTTTTCTTTTTATTTTTTTATTTTTTGAGACAGGGTTTCTGTGTAGCCCTGGCTGTCCTGGAACTCACTCTGTAGACCAGGCTGGCCTCGAACTCAGAAATCCGCCTGCCTCTGCCTCCCAAGTGCTAGGATTAAAGGCGTGCGCCACCACCGCCTGGCAAGAGCATTCTCTAGCTGCTGCTGGCAAGAATGTGTGTGTGTGTGTGTGTGTGTGTGTGTGTCTGCATGTGTGTGTGTGTGCATGTGTGTGTGCCTGCATGTGTGTGTGTCTGTGTATGTGTGTATGTGTGTGCATGTGTGTGTGTGCATACGAGGGGGAGGGGGTGTCCTCCCTCTCCTACTTCATCCTATTTGCTGGGGAGCTGCTGTGGACTGGCCCTATGCTCCACACCCTATATAAAAAGATCATAAGTAAGATACAAGGGCTACAAACAGTATCCAGGCGCAGTGTGAGTGAGCTAGCTGGGCCAGGCATCAGTCACCACATGTATTCATGTATACATCACTGAGAATGGCTCCACAGGGGCAGACCAACCAGGGTCTGTCAATCTTAAAGCAGTGTCAAATTCACAAGTAGGCAAAACTTGGATTGTCAACAGATGGACATACGGGTAGAAGGAACGTAACCCAGAAGACACGAGGGAAGGGCCATCACAATCCACTGGCTCAGAGCCACCGGCTCTCACAGAGAAAGGAATGGAGTCAGGTAGGATCTGCTGGAAGAGTGCCACAGCACAAATGTGGAATGGATTTATAATCCCAGCTAGCGCACACAATCCAGGTATTTTATTTACAAACTGTAAGCCTAGATTGGCAGGTTTGGAGCTATACTAACTTATTCCCAGCTATAAAGTCCCTTGTTCCTTGCTGTTTCTTCTGGCCACGTGCTCATGGTCCATCTCCTCTCATGGCGGCCTCTTCCACCTCTGCCCTTTATTGCTGACCCACGGGAGGCTCCTCTATAATAGCTATCCTTTGAACCACACACACAGACATGTATACTTCTTATATATTTTATATATTTTATATATATATACATACACACATATACATTTATATTTATATGATAGGTGACGGGAAAGGGTTAAATCCTGCCTGTGATGCTAACACTTAAAAGGCTCAGACATATCTGAGAAAAGTCTGAGCTACATAAGGAAAGAACTTGTCTTAAAAACCAAAAACAAGGGCTGGAGAGATGGCTCAGCGGTTAAGAGCACTGACTGCTTTTCCAGAGGTCCTGAGTTCAATTCCTAGCAACCACATGGTGGCTCACAACCATCTGTAATGGAATCCAATGCCCTCTTCTGGTGTGTCTGAAGACAGTGACAGTGTACTCACATATATAAAAAATAAATAAATAATTCTAAAAAAACAAAAACAAGCCAAATATGGTAGAAGAGCCTATACACCTCCCCCACTCCTACCCTTCCACCCCACCCCCCACCCCTACCACACTCTGAAGATGGGGTCAGGAAGATCATAAATACAAGGTCATCTTCACCTATAGGGTGAGTTTGAAACTAGTCTGGGCTTCGAGAGACAGTGTCTCCACAAAAGATAATAAAATCGAACAAAAAAGTTTAAAATAACACAAAAGGTGGGCACACAGGGGCACCATTCTCAAGCATTACAAAGTAAGATCTGGGAGCACCTCCTGCCTCTCTAGGCCTGCCTGCCCAGGGCTGAGAGTAAAGAAAGGCACTGGTCCAGCCTAGGATTCTCCCTTTAACACTCCAGGTGATACCAGGGAGGTAGGTTGGGCTAACTTGGAAGTGCTCTAGGTGTTGGTTCTGAGCTGTGGTCCGGATGCCAGACAACTAAGTCTGGTTTTGATCCTGCCTCTCACTCGCAGTGTGACCCCGGACAAGGGACTTGGACTTTCCAGACCTTCATTTCTACATCTCAAAAAGGGGGCTGAAAATAAGAGTTCTTCATAGACTATTTGCGGGGACTAGAGGAAGTACAGATGTCAAAATTCTGGCACATAGTAAGTATTCTACAATTATAAAACACAAGCCAGCAACTGTAGGACAGACAGCTGATCTCATGTGCCAGTGACACAGGGACTTGGAGGACATGGGATGTCCTTAAGTAGATGAACTGCTTCTTTCCTGTCTCTTAACAAAAAAAGTGCTGAAGGACCCTCTGAGCTCTTCCGACAGAAGCCTATGAAAGGAAGATATGCTCTTGAAGGCTCAATTAATGGAGGACAGAAGATGAGTGTGAAGGGGAACAGTGAGTAGACACAGGGTGCTAGGAGAGGAAGAGAATGGAAGACGAAAGAGTTTGTTGTTCAAGAGCCAAAGGAGTCTAATGAGAAAGTGCCCCTGTATCATGGAGTCCCCATGCCCTGCATAGCACCCGACACACAGGTATACCAATGGGTGTCCAGAGGGCAGTGGGGGGAAATGCGTGGCTTTAAAAGCTCAGATGAGTCCAGGTCAAATGTATCTCTTCAGCACCTGGGACCTAGAAGTGGGACCCAGTAAACATGTGCAGGCTGAGAAGCCAGCCTAAGTGCCATGCCGGTGATGCCGGCTCCCTGGTTAAAGAGACCAAATACCATGTTGAAAGGCACAAAATGTTGTTGGAGCAGGAGAGAAACGTGTTCACCCCCTCATCCCGAAAGCTGGGGTTCCATCTGGTCCCAGTCTCCTGCATCCTTCCCTATCTATTGCCACCTCCATGAGAATCCCATGTATCTGAGCCCTGCTTTTCTTCTTAGTCTAACCGCAGCTAATTTCCGATGAGCTTCTCTGGGAGCACCTGCAGGTACCTCCATTTGCACATGAGCCAGCTGAACTCACACCCCATCTTTCCAGATTTTTCCATTCTCCTTGTGGTGACATCACCACCCTCTATGTTTGTAAAAGAACAAAGATGGGGCTCTTCCTTTCTAGGGGTGTCCTGCTCAGCACACCTTTTCTTATTCACTCACCCCAAGGCTGTACACCATGCCCTTTGCCTCGCCTTCACCCAGCAAGCGTGGCCACCCCTGGAAGAATATGTCTGCTACATACATTACTCTCATTTTTAGCCATGACACGTGACCTGGGCCTAACTTAGTTATATGTGGTTGGTTATGTGTGAGAGCATAGGATAGGAATTCCTGGGAGCTCTGGAGGAAAAAAGTTATCTTGTCTTCTGAGAGATCTTCCTTGGAGCAAGTCCTCTCCACCCCTACCCTAAGCAAGGAGACAGGAGTAAGGGGCAGTCAGCCCAAAATAGAACTGAAAGAGTTCTATTAAGTGACCTGAGTCTTGGTTGATGTCACTGAACAACCAGCTTAAGCCAAATCTATAGCTCAATGTGCTTCTGAAAGCTAGTTACACAAACAATAACCTCTCTTTATTTACTGTTAAGTCACTTACTTGAAGGTCACATAGACGGTGTACAGAGTGACAGTCCTGACATATCCTAATCCATCCTCACACAGCCACTCCCAGCTTTCTCACACAACACTCCTCCCACAGCCCCCAGAAACCAAGGATGCCCTGCCCCCACACATCAGAGCTCTGCCCTGGCCTTGCAGACCTCAGCTTGCTTGACCTCAGCTGGTTTGTCTGACCCCACAGACCGGAAGCTGTCAACTTAGTCTTTGTTCAACCCTGAGTGCCCAGTCCAGCCCAACATGAAGGAAGCCTCAGATCATGCCTTCCTGAAGAGTCAGGAGGATGCAGATGAGGCTAGGGTGTGAGGCTGGGTGCACCACCTCCTACAGAAGCACTGGAGAGACCATCACTGGCTGTTCACATCCACTTTCCTTCAGTCTAGAACTGACCTCAGCTCCATGGCCTCACACATCCTGCAGGCAGCTTCCTCTACCTGCCAGTGACCTCTCTGCCTCCTCAGATAACCTAGGGCTAGTTCTCAACCCACCCCAGCCTCTCAAGACCCCTTCAGCCTCTTTCTGTCCTGAGGACTCCAGGGCTTAACTGTACTTGCTGAACAAAGACTCAGCTGCAAGCCCATGTAAGGGGAAGAACAATCCAGCAAGAACTGCACACACGGCACCATCTAATTGACAGCCATCCCTGCTCCTTCCTTGCTCTGGGAATCCAGGTTCTGTAGCAGAGGATAGTCCAGGCAGCTGTCCTCTGAGAGTGGGGAATAGATGGCCAGTTTGCAGATAAGGAAAACCAAGTCCAGAGAGGTTGGGCAGCCAATATAGCACCACAGCTGTAGGAGGCAGAACGGTATTCTAAGGAAGGTCTAAGCACTTGTGTCCTCTGAGGCCCTAATCATCAGGCTATGGACACAGCATGTTCAAGGGCCACTGCATGGGCTGGGCATGCAGTCCATCAAAATGGGTTCTCCTCTTGGACTCTCTCCTTTTCCTGTGTACCCCCTTAAAGCAATAGGGGACACCCGCTAAGGGAGGAACAGTCACATGGTGGGAAGCTGGTCCAAGCAGTGTTTTGTTCAGACACAAAGCCCTTCTCCCGCTGGGGGAGACCCACAGCTCCATACAGGCGTCTCCTTGTTCTCCCTGGCCCGGTGTCAGGAGCTCATATCCAGCAGGGCTCCAGGGAATCAGTAACATTGGGGGTGGGGGGGGTGGTTGGGGGGGGGACGAGTTCGGGGGGAGGGCTGGGGAGGAGGTGAAACCCAAGGACCTGCCAATACAGAGGGTCTGCTCAGAATGGCTTTTGTCTGGGCCATTCCTTGAGCTGGAAATCTGGTTGGAACCCCAGAGGTTCTAAGAGGGAAAGCATTAACAGTGTCACAGCCAGGAAGCTTGCTCTGTCCTCTCTGCCCAGATGATGACCCTTCAGGAGTCAGTATGCAGGCAGTCCCAGATGGAGGGGTCTGTGGCCACCTCCTTCCAGAGTGAGGTGATGCTCACTCCTCCCCCCCATCCCCTCCTTTCTGCCCCTTCTTGCCAACAGCCAA